CACACACACGCACACTCTCTCTCTCTCTAGGAAACACACTGCCAGTAACATGCACAGTGGCCCTCAAACACACATGATGATTATGAATGGGACACAATCACACCCCCGGTGCCACTTGTAGGGGCCACGCGTATTTTACAGAAGTGACTGAGAGAGTTTTGCAATGCCAGCAGACACACTCCTTCAGATTGTGTTATTAGGACTCAGATAATTAAACTGAAGTTCTATCTTTGCTGTCAGGTGAACACTAAAGCTCCAAACATATTATTAGAGGGAAAGCAGGTGCCTTCTCTTAGGTGAGTCATGGCCAATATTTATCCTTCAAACAACTTCTTAAAAAGTTCAGATTATCTAATCCCCATTGCATTGTCGGAGCTTGCTGTGTGCAAATTGGCTCTCGTTTCCCATAGAGAGTATGGTTCGGAAATCCTTCATTTGGCTTGAGCGTGCCTGATGGCCTCCAGGGCAATGAGAGCTGCTACATGAATGCAAATATTTCCTTTAACGTCATGCACCATTTATATTCACCTCAGAGAGTGGATGAGCCCTTAGTCCAACCAAAAGCTTTCGCCTCCAACAGCACAGCTCTCCTGCAGTAGTGTATTTGCCTGGCTGATAGACTTAAGACGGTTGGGGCCAATTGAGTCACTGCTGATTGGGAATTTCATCTTGGATGCCCCTGGTCTAAATGTCTTCAAAACAGAGCAGGCATTTACAGTACGTACTCCATCAGCTATCAGGAAACTAATGAACACTCCCCTCAGAGCCCGGTAGATATAGAATATTGACTTGGAACTTCACCTTAATGCTCATCACCCAATCTTTCACTAGTTTCTTTACAGTATATTCCTCTAATTTAAATCATACACATGAATTATATAAATATATAATAAACACACTGCTTGTATTTGTACAATGTTTTTAAAGTTAGTGGAGCAAGCAAAGGTACTTCAGAGGAGCATCATCAAATAAATAGCAAGTAAAACAGCACATTGGCTCAGGGGTTAGCACTGCTGCCTCACAGTGCTAGGGACCTGGGTTCGATTCCACCCTCAGGCAACTGTCTGTGTGGAGTTTGCACGTTCTCCCCGTGTCTGCATGGGCTTCCTCTGGGTGCTTTGGTTTCCTCCCACAGTCCAAAGATGTGCAGATTAGGTGAATTGGTCATGCTAAATTGCTCCATAGTGTCCAGGGATGTGTAAATTAGGTGGATGAGCCATGGGAAGTGTAGGGTAGTGGGTGAGGGTGTGGGTCAGGCCAGGATGGTTGATGTGGAGTCAGTGGGCTGAATGGCCTGCTTCCACACTGTAGGGATTCTATGAAAATTCTGCCCACAATAAATGGAGAGAATACTGGAGGAGATGGAGAGAAATGGAATGAATGGCTGAGGCCTATGCTGTTTTGTCAGAACTGACCTGAGGTGTTAATTGTAGTTGGTGCCAGCAGTTTGACTCGGGGGCTGTTTATGTGGTGTTATACAAAGTATTTGAAGTTTTACAAGAAAGAGTAAAGACAAATAGATCCTTCTGTTGTAAAGTAAAGATTCAGGCTGCCAATATCGACATGTGTAATTCTGCTCGCTGGTGGAAATCTCCCAAGGGATTGGGTATTTGAAGGGGGCAGTGTTTGCCCAGATTCACCTTT